CAGTATAAATTCTTGTAATGAACTCCATGTATTTATGAAAAGTAAATGTCCTTTTATTAATTATACAAGTACCAAGACCAAGCCTTATGGAATGTTATGGATTAGCTCTCTTAAATCAGAGGTTCACAAGTGTCAGTCCTTGGACTTTTGACACTTCAGAATCTATTGTCCTAAAAAGAGCTTTCCAGAATTTAAAAATCTAGTTATTCTATCTTTATGATTTATATATACACACAAATACACACATGCATATATATGTAAAAAGCAGCTCTTTATTCTTGTAATATTCAGAATTCTATCTTTATATGTAAGTTATATCATATCAAATAATCATATCATAATTATTTTCCAAATATCAGATTAATGTAATTTATTTTCTTGACCTTGGTCAGAATGAATGTAAACTATTCCAGACAGAACATTTATCTTATTCTTAGTCCATCAGACTTTTAGAATGTGTTATAGAACTTATTTCTGTTTACCTAAAAATTGAAAAATAACCACATCAGTATAAACCCAGAGGGGTCTAGCTGAAAAAGTGTCCCGTTATCCAGTGTGTGATAATTGCCTTGTGAGGCTTCCCTGTAGTAAAATGTCTTTGATCATTTAAGTTACCGAATCTTAAGGTTGTCCTACTTTAAATTAAGCTAGCATTTTTCAGAGAGAATTGGCGTTCAGATTTATTTCTAGGATGATAACCTGTAGAAAAATCAGTAAAGATCTTCAGACTCAGGTCATATCCCATTTTCCTATTTCATTCAAAAGCACTGTGGCAAACTGCTAGAATACATAACATCATACTCTTTCTCAAAAACTCAGCATCTCCAAAGCTTTTGGTGTTTATAACTTAGAGGGAAAGATAGAAATGAGAATCTCAAATTTTTACTTTTCACTTAAAAAAATGAGGCCAGAGATCTAAAAGAAAACACTAAACCAGCTCTCAGAAGGCCTTAACCTAAGGATTATTTACTTAAGGCTAATAATCAATAATCTAGCAGTTACTTGGGAATTCCAGTCATGTAAAACATACCAAGAACCTGAAAGTAAGGTAAAGGAAAACACATTTTGCTAGTCAAAATAAATGTCAAATAAAACGACTCAGGCTTGTATACTGAAGAATGACTCAACTTATTATTGTGTGAGGAAGGCCAAGCCCAAAGCCCTGCTGGGCAGTAGGAATGAGAAGAGCAAACATTCATTCTTCCAGCAAACATTTATTGTATCCCTACTACATACAGGGTTTGCATTTGCATTTTCCTCCTTCCCAAGAGGAAAAAGAAGAAATAGGGATTTTTATATTCAGATTTACTCTACAATAGCTTCTGTCACTTCTATCTCATTGTTTTTAAAAAATTGTTTTTAGTCACTACCAAATTGGCAAGTAGAAAATAATTGACCCTGTACTGAGATATAGATGCTATGAGAGTCAGCTAGGTTCACTCACTATCTTTATACTCTGTTATACAGCTTCACCTCACTAATACTTTTAGGGTCTCATGAGTTAGGGAAATTAATGATAATAAACTTTTGAATACCAGTAATCTGTATTGGGATCTAATGAGTCTTTTCTGATATTTGAAATAAAAACCTTGTTACTGAAATTTTTATACAGTTCTAGAGAGAGGTTGAATCAGTTTTCTTCCCTTTTGCTCAATGGAATGTTAGAAGAGACTCTGAAGGGAACTTCCTTTCCCATCTTCTCCTCCCATCTGTGATTGTCTTTTATTTTTTTATTATTTTTTTTCATCCTCACCTGAGGATATTTTTCCATATTTTGTACAGATAGAGTGGGAGGGAGAGAGAGGAAAGGAGAGAGAGAGAGAAACATTGACGTGAAGGGACACATCGAGTGGCTGCCACCCGCACGACCAACCAGGGCCGGGGACAAACTGCAACCGAAGTACGTGCCCTTAGCGGGAACCGAACCCGGGTCTCTCCAGACCGCAGGCCGACGCTCCAGCCACTGAGCCAAACTGGCCAGGGCTGTGATTGTCTTTTAAAGCACAGAAACTGCCAGGCTGGTGTGGCTCACTAGTTGAGCATCAACCCACGCACCAAGAGGTCGCTGGTTCAATTCCCGGTCAGGGCACATGCCCAGGTTGTGGGCCAAATCCCCAGTGGGGGGCATGCAGGAGGCGGCCAGTCCATGTTCTCTCTCATCGATGTTTTTATCTCTTTTTCCCTTTCCCTTCCTCTCTCTCTAAAATCAATACAGGAAAAAAATTTTTAAAAAAAGAATAATTAAATAAAATAAAGCACAGAAGCTGGTGTAGGGGGTGTTCCATTTTCTTGATCGGGATATTCCCACTTGTCTCATTACCTGTCACTGTTAGCAATTTTATATCTGTGTCCAGACTTTTTGTTATCTCCTATTCTGTTGAAGATGTCTGTTTGTGAGACATCTTTAAACTGTGAAGGGTTCCTTCTTATATGCCAGTGCTGGTCTCAGGCTCAGTTCCTTTTTTGTTATATTTGGGCTTGACTTCACCTTCCAACACCATCTTCCTTTGACTAAGGGATAGTTTATCTCCTTATTTCTTATCCTTAAATCTGTTTCTTAAATCTAAGGGGCTTAAAGCTTTCTCAAGCCTTGCCAGGGTTGATCTCACTTTTAGTTTAGCACTGACTTCTTTCTTATAATTTAGTAATTCTGCTAGTCTTAGTTATAAAATTATAAGTCTTTTGATGGGCACTTTCATTGCATCTATCTTGGCTATTGTAAATAATGCTGCAATGAACATAAGGGTGCATATATTCTTTCGAATTAGTATTTCAGGTTTCTTTAGATAAATTCCCAGAAGTGAAATTGCTGGGTCATAAGGCAATTCCATTTTTAATTGTTGAAGGAACTTCCACACTGTTTTCTTCCATGGTGGTTGCACCAATCTGCATTTCCACCAACAGTGCACTAGGGTTCCCTTTTCTCCACATGCTCACCAATACTTGTTGTATTGATGGTAGCCATTCTGACAAGTGTGAGGTGGTATCTCATTGTGGTTTTGATTTGCATCTCTCTGATGATTAGTGACATTGAGCAACTTTTCATGTCTATTGGCCCATCAATAGATGAATGGATAAAAACTGATACATTTACACAATGGAATACTACTCAGCCATAAAAAAGAATGAAATTTTACCTTTTGCTATAGCATGGATGGATATAGAGCAGTGGTTCTCAACCTTCCTAATGCCGCAACCTTTTAATACAGTTCCTCCTGTTGTGGTGACTCCTAACCATAAAATTATTTTTGTTGCTACTTTATAACTGTAATTTTGCTACTGTTGTGAATCGCCATTGGAAATAGGTGTTTTCCGATGGTCTTAGGAGACCCCTGTGAAAGGGTCCTTTGACCCCCAAAGAGGTCACGACCCACAGGTTGAGAACTGCTGATCTAGAGGGTGTTATGCTAAGTGAAATAAATCAGATGGAGAAAGACACATACCATATGCTTTCACATATATATGGAATCTAAAGAACAAAATAGAAACACTTATAGATACAGAGAATAGACTGACAGTTGTCAGAGGGGAGTGAGTTATGGGAGCTGGGTGAAAAAAGTGAATGGATTAAGGAGTATAAATTGGTAGTTATCAAGTAGTCATAGAAATGTGGATTGCAGTATAGGGAATATAGTCAGTAGTGTCGTGAAGACTGTGAAGGGCCAGGTGGGTGCTTGAAACATCGGGGTGAGGGGCTACTCTGTCAAGTACATGATTTTCTGGCTACTTTGCTATACATCTGAAAATAATACAGAATAATATTGAATGTAAACTGTAATTGGAAAAATATTTTTGATTTAGAACAAATAATAAATAATATAGGTGATTTGTAAAAAAAATAAGTCTGTAGTGGGACAGGGAAAAAGAAAAGACATTAGAAGGTAAGTTGTTTTTCACTGGTATGCTTTTATTTATTTCAAAGAAGATATCCATCTTCTCTAACTTTGTATGTTACTTTGATAAAAAGCAGATATAATCTCTTCTGTCTTGGAAAAATGATTATTACATTTATAACTTAAAATTGCAGTATCATTTAGAACGTTGGGAAGATTCTTTCACTTGAGAAAGGGAGGAAGAATTTCTTCCCTTATTTCCTTTTCTCAGTGCACTTGAACCCTTACTTTTAAGCCAAAACTGTGAATAGTTCAGCTGGTATGATAACTGAGGCTTTTATAATTTTTTACTTGAATTTCATTATAATAGTTTTCTGTAGGAAGGTGTATGCAGGTTGCCAAAACACTTTGTAAATGACCTTTGAAGATGCTTATATTCTAAAAAGCAAGTTATTTGTTTTTGAGACTAGTGAGAGTAGAATGTATATTTGGCAGTGACTGTCATTTGGATTGATTTACCTTTCTTATACTTCTGTTGTATACTCTGTGGGAGTATTCCTATTACTAATTTTATTTTATTTTTTCTTGTGAATCCTCATCTGAGGATGTTTTTCCATTGTTTTTTTTAGAGCGAGTGAAAGGGAGGGAGGGAGTGAGGGGAGAGAGAGAGAAACATCAGTGTGAGAGAGATACATGGACTGGTTGCCTCCTGTATGTGCCCTGACCTAGGCTGGGGATCGAACCTGCAACCCTTCAGTGTGCAGTCTGACAGTCCAACCATAGATCCACACTAGCCAGGGCTCCTATTACTAATTTTAAATGAAGAATAAGCTTTTAAAAATTTATTAAAATACTAAGAGATCTGTTGAGGCATAGATAACATAAATTGTATTTAAAAGGGAAATTCTGGAATAGCTTTTGAAGTAATCTCATTGCTGTTTTAATGTCCTTGGAAACCTTACAGCTACTCATACCTTTTGCTTATGGTTGTATTATTTAATCTACCTCCTACAAGAATTTCTCTGTGATATTTATATTGATTGTTGACTATGGAGTTGTTTTAACTTTTTTCTCAGTTTTCAATTTTCCTCATTTTGTTTCCCTTGGAAGTTACTTGAGTAGTAATGTGTTTGCCTATCACAAATTAAAGTTTTTCTTTAATAACAGATTTATATCTGAAACTGGAAGATGTGACCCATAAATTTAATAAGCCCTGTATAATGGATGTAAAGATAGGACGAAAAAGTTATGATCCTTTTGCCTCATCTGAGAAGATTCAGCAACAGGTCAGCAAGTACCCATTAATGGAAGAGATTGGGTTCTTGGTGCTTGGCATGAGGGTAAGTAAGAGTGATTATTAGTGTAATATAAACATTTTTCTTTAAATGTTCTTTCCTTGAAAATGATAGATGTCATTATAATACTAATATGTCATAAGGTGATATATTTTGGAATTTGCTGTCTACAAGTCCCCAATGTGGACAGAGATTTTTATCTCTTTTGTTCACTGATAATATGGTCAGTGTCTGGACTGAACAGCTGACCTTGAAGACTCCGACTCTGAAAATTTTGTTTTAGAGAAGCTTTAAGTTTAGCTGTAATAGAAATAATGTGATAAGTAAATGTTATATTTATGATTTTCCCATGAGGAAAGTGCTAAATTTATATTCAGTAATTTTTCTATATTTTTAAAATAGAAAAGGGAAATTAAAATTAGGTCACTGTTTTAGACTGGATTTAAAAATAGTTGTTTTATTTGCTCATAATTCTTTGGGTTGGTAATTTGAACTGGTCTCAAGTAGACAGTTCTGCTCAACTCACCTAGGGTCCCTCATGTGGCTGCACTCATCAGATGGCTCCACTGGGGTTAGGTGGTCTAACATGACCTCATGCTTACATCTGGGAATTTGTTCTAACTTTTGGATGGACTTTTTTTTATGTGGAAAAAGGAGGCTTGTTGGAGCTTCTTCATGCACCACATTTCAAGACAGCAGGTGAGAGTGGGAGCTACAAAGGCTCTTAAAATTTAGGTTATGAAATTATTTGCTGGAATTTTATAGGTCAAAGTATATCACAGGGCCAGCCCATATTATCATTAGGGCAGAGAAATAGACTCTACTTATGAAATTGGGAATAGGGAAGTCATAATGCAAATGGCAATGTGCACAAAGATGAGAAAGATTGTTGAGACCATCTTTGCAAACATTATGCCACAGTTAAGTGATGTAGAATAAAATTCTCTAAACAAATGGTATATCTTCTAGAAGTATGGAGGTTAAATTTGAAAAATGATTGCATACCTATATAAGCATAATGGGGTAGTTTTGAAATGTATTGTAAAAGGTGATACATGGATCTTTTGAGGTTTAAACAGGATAATTAATAAGCATTATAGATGTGATGATTATAACAGCGCAGTTGAATTTTGTATTCTGATCAAATGAAAAGTTATTTCATTTAGAAAACTACAATTAAATGTGGGTATATAGTAAAACAGAAAAGGGTTAATGACATAATGTTAAAATGAACAAGAAATAAATATCCCACAGGATTCTGACTGGGCAGCTACTTAAACCTTCCCTATTTTCAAATCCTCCCCCTTCCCTTCTCACTTTTACCAGAGGACTTTGCCTTCTGCTTCAGAAAAAATTAAAACCATTAGACAGGATTTCCTTTAATTTCCTGCCAACAGATGTACACACCTAACCTACAAGTGCTTTCATTCCCTCTATTCCTTCCTGTCACATTGAAGAATTTTCCATCCTGTATGAGGACAGGCCTTCCCTATGCCTTCTGGATCTCATTCCCTTCCACCTCTTTAGGAATCTCATACTATTGGTTCTCTCTTGTCTTATATCTTCAACTTCTGTCTCTCTTGACTCTTTTCCTTTTGTTTTATATATGTTCAGATCACTGTCAATTAAAAAACAAAAAACACATCAAAAACCACCTTTAGCCTAGCCGGTGCAGCTCATGGATTGAGCATCGGCTCGTGCACCAAGAAGTCACTGGTTCAGTTCCCAGTTAGGGAACATGGCTGGATTGTAGGCTTGATCCCCAGTAGGGGGTGTGCAGGAGGCAGCTGATTGATGTTTCTTTCTCACATCACATTTTTTTTAATGCTTTTACTGATTTTTTTTTTTTTTTCCTTAGAGGAAGGGAGAGAGAGAGAAACATCCATGATAGAAACATCAACGTCAATTGGCTGCCTCCTGCAGACCCCCTACTGAGGATTGAGCCCAAAACCCAGGCACGCCCTGGCCAGTTTGGCTCAGCGGTTAGAGCGTCGGGCTGCGGTCTGGAGAGACCCGGGTTCGGTTCCCGCTAAGGGCATGTACTTCGGTTGCAGTTTGTCCCCGGCCCTGGTTGGTCGTGCGGGTGGCAGCCACTCGATGTGTCCCTTCACGTCGATGTTTCTCTCTCTCTTTCCTTTCTCTCTCTCCCTCCCACTCTATCTGTACAAAAAATGGAAAAATAACCTCGGGTGAGGATAAAAAAAAAAAAAAAAAACCCAGGCGCATGCCCTGACTGGGAATTGAACTGGACTTCTCAGTCCATGGTACAAGGAGCCACACCAATCAGGCTTCAGCTCGGTTTTTTTCTTGGTTTAGTCTTTAAATGTTGAGGTATTTGCTCTTCCATTTTATTGCCTCCCATTCTTTTCTGTTTCTTCCTAAGGGTGTCCTTTGTTCTTTTAGGTTCCGTTTCACCTACACTGATAACTCCCAAAGGCACATCTTTAGCCTCAGATTTTTCTTTGATCTCCTAATCTGTATAGCTAAGAGCCTACTAGATATTTTACTAGGATAACTTAAAAACATCTAGAATTAATACATAAAAAAGTGATACACTCCTCTCTCTCTTGCAACCAACTCAACGGTAGCAACAAATTATTATTCCTTATCTCAGTAAATGACAGCACTGGTTTTAGAAACTGGAAACCTTGTAGTCACCATTACCTCTCACAACCACTCATCAATCCTATTGATTTTAATTCCCAAGCATCTCAAATTCAGTTATCAACCATTATCCATTTACAGACTCTAGTCTCTTAACTGATCTCTCAAGTTCAGTATTTCTTTCATCCAGTCTGTTCTCCAAACATTGCAAAATGGTCATGGCATTCTCCTGTTAAGAACTCTTCAGTGGATTTCCATTGCCTTAGGGTACGGTACATACACAGGGTAAATAAAAAAGGCATTGCGTGATTTGGCTCTCCTGGAATATGTCATTTCCCCAGACAATAGAGGTTCCTTTATGTGATGTTTTTTTCCTTAATAACTTTATTAAGATATGATATACATACCTCTCAATTCACTCATTTAAAGGATACAATTAATTGGTTTTACTATATTTATAGAGTTCGGCAACCATCACCATATTCAACTTTAGCACATTATTATCACCCCAAAAAGAAATCTGTACCAATTAGCATTTGAAATCCTGCCGTTTGTGACAACATGGGTGAACCTTTTGAGGGCATTATCCTAAATGCAATAAGAAGACAAAGTAAAACAAATACTGTGTGGTATCACTTATATGTGGAATTAAAAAAAAAAAAAGCGGATTTCATAGAAATATATTAGAATGATGGTTTCCAGGGGCTTGAGGGAGGAGGAAATGGGGAGAGGTAGTTCAAAGGGTCCAAACTTTCAGATATAAGATGAATAAATTCTGAAGATCTAATGTACAGCATGGTGACTATAGTTAAATATACACTATTGTGTACTTGAAATTGGCTAAGTAGATCTTAAGCATTCTCACCATACACACATACACAAATGATGAGTCTCTAGGTGTATTAATTATCTTGATCTTGTTAAGCTTTCCATAGTGTATATGTATACCAAAAATCATGTTGTACACTTTAAATATGTACAATTGTATTTGTCATTTATTCCTCAATTAAGTTGGAAAAATGTAAATGAAGTATGTTTTAATATCTGGCAGGATGGCAAGGTCAGGCCCTCCTTTTTTATCTTATTTTGATTTGTTCCTGGCTATTTTTGCTTTTCCGTATGAACTTTAAGTTAGCTTGTATGGTTATAAAAATTGTTGGTGTTTTATTATAACTTCATTTTAGTTGTGAGTTAATTTAAGTAGAATTGATATCTTTTTTTTTTACCTTTTTATTGAATTTATTGGGGTGACATTGGTTAATAAAATTAATATGTTTTAAGAGTACAGTTCTATAGTACATCAATCTGTATTGTGTGTGTACCACCCGAAGTCAAGACTCTCCTTCCATCACCATTTATCCCTCCTAGACCCTCTCCTACCTCCCTCCACCCCACTTTCTCTCTGGTAATCACAGTATTGTTGTCTGTGTCCATGAGTTTTTGTTTTTGTTTTTTTTGCCTAATATCTTCACCTTTTTCACCCAGCCCTGCTACCTTCCTCCCCTCTGATAGCTGCCAGTCTGTTTCTATTTTGTTTGTTTATTTTGTTCATTAGATTACACATATGAGTGAAATCATGTGGTACTTGTCTTTCTCTCACTGGCTTATTTCACTTAGCATAATGCTCTCCAGGTCTATCCATGCTGTTGCAAAGGGTAAGATTTCCTTCTTTTTAATGGCTGAGAAGTATTCCATTGTGTAAATGTATCACAGCTTTTTTATTCACTCATCCACTGATGGACACTTGGGCTTCTTCCAAACCTTGGCTATTGTAAATAACACTATAATGAACGTAGGGGTGCAAGAATTGATACCTTTTATGTTGAATCTTCCTCTCTGAGACCGTGGGTGGGTGTTTGTGTGTATGTCTTTAGGAATTTTTTAAAGATGTTTTTATAGATTGTATCTTTCTTTGGTTTATTTCTGTTTTATTTCTTTTTTGTTGCATTTGTAAATGAAGTTTTTCATTATGTCTCCAACCAGTTATTTATCTCCTCCTTTTCATATTATTCTCTTTAATTTCTTTCTCTTATTTGTATTTGTTAGAGACATCAGAACAATATTAGATTCATAGTGATGATAAAAGACATTGTGGTAGAATACTTTTTTTTTGGAAGCTTCTTATATTTTAGGACAAATGCTTTTTATTTCCACTTTATTTGGTGGATTGAGGTAGATAATTTTTCATATTGGAAATACTCATCTATCCTTTTAAAGAGTTTTCTCAATAGTGGATGTAAATTTGTTAAATGCCTTTTCAGAATCTATTGATAGATTATATGATTTTTTTTTCTTGAATCCATTAGAATGAATCATATGAATAGATCATTCCATCTTTAACCATTGCTGTGATAAACTTCGTACAGTCAAGGAGTATTTATTTTTAATATTTACTCCTTTTTCTGACAGGTTTATCATGTTCATTCTGATAGCTATGAGACACAAAACCAGCACTATGGGAGAAGCTTAACAAAAGAAACTCTAAGGGATGGTAAGGATTGAAAAACCATATTTCAATGCTTTTATTACTGCACAGTTATCAAAATAATTCTAAAGTGATTTTGGTTTTAATTCTCTTTTGGTATAATGTTTCAATTCACAATAAATAAACTTTAAAAAAATGAACCTTACTTTCACACAATTGAATTAATCATAATCCCTGGTTTATGGTACACCAAAACCTTGGGTGTATTTTATATTTTCATTTATTTATTAATATACCTAAATAAAATGAACGTGTGTGCATCTGTGAACAACCATTTAGTCTAAGTACTGGAACTAGAGGAGTTGTCTTTAAAATCATAGTATATAGATCATGGAATTAAAACTACTTGTTACATAAGAGACTTTAAAGTGTGTGTTGTAGCATGTAATTTATTTTTATTGAAATTTCTCTTATAGTTGAGCTGTATATTATTAGCTTCTAGAATTACATTATGAATGAACAAGTGGCATTAAAAGTAGTTTAAATAAAGTCTCTTAACATATATGATTCTAAAATATTTATGGACAAAATAAAAGCAGTGATATCCTAGATTACTGGAAATAATATTCTATTAGAAGTTTATTCTTAACTCTACCTAAGGTGGGGAACAGGTTACGTGTAATGTAAAGAGTTTGAAGAAAAATTTTTATTTTATGTGTAAAATACAGGTATCCACACTATGATCTTAATGAGTATTTGCCTCAGCTAATAGCAAGATAATATGCAGATTGGCTCTTTATTAAAATATTTCCCAAGCTAATCTGAATATATTTTTTTAAGCAGTTTCTATCCCAGAGTTTTTTTTTATCCTCACCCAAGGACATTTTTGCATTTTTCTTCAGATAGAGTAGGAAGGAGAGAGGGAGGAAGAGAGAGAGAAACATCGATGTGAGAGAGACATATAGACTGGCTGCCACCCACACAACCCCATGGGGCTGGGGACAAACTGCAACTAAAGTACGTGCCCTTAGCGGAAACCGAACCCAAGACTCTCTGGTCTGCAGGCCGATGCTCTAATCGCTGAGCCAAACCGACCAGGCCCAGAGTGATATTTTAAAGGCAAAAACCAAATCGTATATACCTATAAGTTTCCAAATATGATAAAATAGGCATAAATCATTTTAAGAGGCCTAATAATCTGATAGGTAAAAGCATTTAAAAGTCTCAGTTTTTTTTTTTTTTTAATCCTCACCCAAGGACATTTTTCCATTTTTTGTTCAGATAGAGCGGGAGGGAGAGAGAGGAAGAGAGAGAAAGAGAGAAACATCGATGTGAACGGACACATCGAGTGGCTGCCACCCGCACAACCAACCAGGGCCGGGGACTAACTGCAACCGAGGTACGTGCCCTTAGCGGGAACCGAACCCGGGTCTCTCTGTACCGCAGGCCGACGCTCCAACCGCTGAACCAAACCGGCCAGGGCAAAAGTCTCAGTTTTTGATGATATTCTTAAACTAGAGTAATGCTAATCCCCAAAGTGAGCTTAGCTTTTGTGAAAAGATTGATTTAATCAATTTTGAGAACAGAAAAAAATTAGTACAGTTTATAACTTGGTATTTTGGTAGTGGGCTGTTGACACTATTAAAAATGGTTAGTTTGACTCTAGGTTTTAGATTAGCTCGTAAATGTGATTCTAACAAACAAGTAATCATTCTATAAAATCCTTCACAATAGCAAATGAAGCAAATCTTGGAATAGATTTCTTAAGAGAATATATGTAGAGAGAACTAAACTACCAGTCTGTCTGTAATAAACAGCTTTGTCTAAATAGGATATTTCACCTTACATAAGTGTCACTTAAATGTTTTCTAGTAAGAGTGTCTTCACCAGAAATTAAGTTGAAGTCCAGGTTTCTATGTTTGACTAGAATTCTTCCCTGTTCAGTTAATTGCAAGGGGTGATGGGGAAAAATTGAAGATTGTATCTAAGATGAGTTTACTTCCCAAGTGTTAACCCTTTTATAATTATATTATAATAATATATTGCAATAATATTATATTTTCCTTTTTATAGGAGTTTCAAAGTTTTTTCATAATGGATTCTGCTTAAGAAAAGATGCTATTGCTGCCAGTATTCAGAAGATTGAGAGTATTTTGCAGTGGTTTGAAAGCCAGAAGCAGCTTAACTTTTATGCAAGTTCATTACTGTTTGTTTATGAAGGTTCATCTCAGCCAACTCCTACAAAATCAAATGACAGGACTTTGGCAGAAAAGTTTTTGTCCAAAGGACAACTCTTGGACACAGACGTACTGGAGTACAATAATAACTTTCGAGTGTTAAGTTCCACAACAAATGGAAAAATAGAGGCTTCAGTAGGCAAAAGCTTGTCCAAGATGTATGCTCGTCACAGAAAAATGTATTCAAAAAAGCATCACAGTCAGACTTCATTGAAAGTTGAAAATATAGAGCAAGACAATGGATGGAAAAGCTTGTCACAGGAACATTTAAATGGAAATGTACTTTCCCAACTGGAAAAAGTTTTCTATCATCTTCCTACTGGTTGCCAAGAGATTGCGGATGTAGAAGTACGAATGATAGATTTTGCTCACGTTTTTCCTAGTAACACAATAGATGAGGGATATGTTTATGGGCTGAAGAACTTAATTACTGTACTGCAGAGTATTTTAGACAATTGAATCCTTTGCAGCAGTCTTTGTAAGGGGTGGGGCAATCATTGTGAAGAGCAGCAGTCAGTATCTCTGCACTTGTAATGCTATGTAACAATTTGTATTGTGAGTCTACATTTTATTTGTCTTTATACTTTTGGTAGAAGAGTTAACTTTTTTATAATCTTACTCAGGAAAACTAATTATTTGTTCATTAGAAAACTATGAAGAATAAAGAAACTTTGGAGTGTTAAGCAGGGAGTGTGGTGGTACATGGTTTAAACATCCATTTGGCTCAAGCAAAATACAAACCATTATTCAGTCATTAAGAGTTTAGTTTTCTGTAGCCAGTTTATCATGACATCTCTGTCCACCCAACCTTGACAATGAGCCATATCTAAACTCATTACATTATGAGAACACTTTCAAAAATCTAAAAAGCACAGATTGATGTCCGTAGTATTGCTTTTTGAAGCTATTAAAACTGGAGAAAATTCTACTTCAGAAATAAGTACTGTTTAGGTTTTATATTAAAGTTTAGACCAGCATATCAAAAGGTGCTTCTTAGTGAAATGATTTTGAATTATTGCATTCCAAAAGCAGATTTTCCCTTTAATTTTTACTTATATTCATAGTTCAACATTATGCTTCATGAAAAAGATAATTGAAACGGACAACAACAACAACAAAAATCTTGAAAATAAGGGCACTGATAATTATTCTTGCCAGGGCAAGAAGAGACAAGTTACTTGAAAGGAACACATTTTTCTTTTAAAATCTTTCATTTATGGGCAAATTGGAATATATACTTACTATATTATGAAAAATGTTATAAACGGTATAATATTTTTTCCTTTAACTGCAGCTTCAAAAAGGTGGGTGATTGAAGGTTTGTCTTATTTGTCCTTTAAATAACTTTTGAATTTTAAAAAATTTTATATATTTTTATGTGTCCATTTAGTTAAGCAGTAGTATAAATATATGTTTCTAAAAATAGTGTTTATTAGCAGTGAAGGACAACATCCAATTTGTTATAAAAATACTGTGTAAATTAGTGCATCATGGAAAGTGGTGCATGTCTAAACCCATGCTTGTTTCATTCTTACTCAAAATAATTTTATATTATATTCAAGAGAAAAATTATGATTTAATTTCATGGAGCCGGGAGATAATGCGATTTTTTCCTGGATAAATTAGATTCTGTGTTATCTGTTTCACATTCACCTTTTAAAAAACCAGTTATTATTGAAAACATTTAAAACTTTAAAATTAAATTTGCAAATATATTAGATGTTTATGCTCTCTCGTTACTTGCATTTTGATTCACTTATAACACATCTAGGTTATTGAACAGTTTTGTCATATTCCTGGAAAATGTTTTAGAGTTGGGAAATGTTAGTTACCCCCGCCCCCCATTTCCCCTAGAATTAAAAATTAAACTTTTAAATCCAAACACTTTTTTGGTGTGGAGGAAAGTATCACAATTTTATGTTTATGTCACATTCCCACTCCTCTCTGAGGAGACTTTGCAAACATCTGATCACCAACTCAAGTATCAGATCATCTGTGAAGTCTGTGCTTAATAAATCTATTAAACTGAACAACTTCAAAATTCATATGCGTTTTGTTATAGCAAAATTCGATTGTTTAAGATTTTTTATTTTGAGTCATAAGTTTTCTGTAGAGACTTCGTATTGTTCTCTACTGCCTAAATGGGTATGATTTTTGCTTTTTTGGAGGGGGGCTGAATTTCAAGTCAATTAATAGTCAGAAATGTTTTAATTTTACTTGATTTTTCCTACAATATAGACTTTTGTTGTTGTTGTTATTTGGATAGTGGTTCAGTAAATCTAAGTTCAGATAATTACACACTATTTTGAATCTGAACAAAACAAGAAATTTCTTTTTGTAGGGGATGGTATCAGCCTATGTAAAATGAATTTAATACATTTAAGTATTAACAGATTTTTTGCACATTTTAGCTTAATAAAGTGTAAGTCAACTGTTCTAGGTTTTCTTTACCCATATTTGGAAATATAGTTTTGTAAATTAGTCTTACATTTTTGATATAATAGATCATGTTTTGTTTTATTTTAATAAAACAAGAAGCGCTTTTATCTTTTGTTTTTCAGGGAAGGGATTAACATTTAATTCTCTTTGTTTACATTTTTTATCACTGTTTATTCAGTTCTCATTTTATGTTACTTTATATGTAAGCTTACATATAACAGAAGTAGTATCTGTGTATGTAATCTATATGTGACTATTTTACTATCTAGTCCAGTCATTTAGCATTATGCTGAAATTTACCACTGTGGGAATAGAATGATCACTGTTCACTAAGCATATTTAAACATGTAAATGTTTAGGAAGTAAGCATAATAAGGATATAGTTTGGGTTAATGGATTATCAAATTTTTTTCCATTAGGAAACACAAATAATGGTTTTAGTGTATTTCTTACAGAATGCACTCATAAAAAGAACTTTTAAGAAATTATGGAGAGTGAATAATACATTTCTCTAATAAAAATTAAAAATTGTATAATAGTTTTATAATAAAGTATTTACACTAATTGCTATTTTAATATGAATGGAAGTTGCATAGATTCAGATAAATTAAAAATTGATGATAAATGCTAAATATTTTATCTAAATAGTTTTTCAAGAAACACTTGTGAAAATGTGTATATTAAATAGCTCTAACGTGGAGCGTGTGGTATTTTCAATTCAGTATTCATTATTCTTTATGTGTCTGGAAAGATTGTACTTAACTATGCCTCTTACACTACATTTTTCTGTTGTGGGGCTTTACGTTGTGTTCAACAGAGTAAGAACATTTTATCTGATTTTGACTGAGTATAATTTACTGTTTTATGATTTTCAAGATGATGTTCTTCATATCATCTCTATACTGTATCAAAATTATAACAACTTAAAAAGGAATTAATTTTCAGAGACATTTCAGTTGCATTTTTCTTGTTTCATGCAACTGAAAACATTTGTTTCTAGGATTTGGAATATCAGATGTAAGATGAAAGAAAATGGTAAAACAATGGAAGAATTTTATTTGTGAATTTACAGAAATTTTGTCCACTATTTTAAAGCATTGTCATCATTTTAGTACCATTTTCTCATAGCATTTTGGCATTTGATACTTTAAAACTTGATTTGCTTTGAAAATAGTTTACAATGCTTTGTAATAATCTTTCTGATCCAGTGCCTTTAACCTTGATTTGATATATGTGCAGCCTCCACTATTTTTCATTACATTCTATGTTATAGCATAGACAACAGTTTCTTTTTAATGTTACTTTGGTTGTGCAAAGAGGTAAATTGTCTATTAATGCTTTGGGAAAACAAGTAGAATTGCCTATGGAGGCCAGGCTTCTTAGTTCATTCAAATATACATATGGGATAGCTACCATGTGCCAAGCATTTTTAGCCCCTTAATATATGGTTGTGAACCAATCAGATGAAAAACCCTATTTCCAGCATTCTGTCTAGATGGGGTGAGGTTGGGGACTGAATTAAAATAGAGATACAGAGAAATATTCATTTCAAGATGATAAAGGTAACTAGCATTTGAGTTTATATAAAGATAACAGTTATTGAGTTGAGATGAAGCAACTAACAACGTTAGAGAGGTTAAAAATAATATTTCACAGCATTGTAACCTCTATTTGAGTTCAGGTAGTAATTATATATAGCATAAAAAGGCCTTAATTTTTTAGTTTTCTTGCTGGTAAAGGTACGTTTACTTAGACTATCCATTTAGAGTAGTGTTTTAACATAACATTACTGTGAAAAACATTCCATTATATTTTTACAAGCAAATTACTGCACATTTTTTACATTGTATTTTATAATGCAGTACAGATGTTTTAGGCCTCAGTCTTATCTTCAAATCACTGGTATTTTAAATTTGCCAGTGAATATGAATTTACTTTTTGACTTACAAAATGATTTTATTGTTACTTAAAATGCTTGTTACTATTTTAGGAAGGTTGGAGTTTCCATTTTTGAGGAGTTAATGTTTAAATTATTTTGATAGCATCTAGTGAGAGAAAATACTGTTCATACAGTTAAGCAAAATATACTGTCAATAATTTTCTTTTAATTGTTAAACTTTGTCTTCATTGGGGTTAAATTTTGACCTGGTGTTCACTTATAATATATATTAACACGTTTAATTATGGAATGAAATAGTCTTAATGATGTATGATGCACCTGCATATAAATGGAAATGGCGTGCACAGAGACACTTTACTATGGGAGCTGTACTGGAAGACTTACGAAAGCATGTGAAATTGCACCTAAAATTGTGTTGTTAGTGACTATGCTAAGTTTATTGTACTTGATGAATGAATGTATTTAGTCTAGTCAAAGTTAAATGGTTTAAATGTCTCTTTTTTTTAATGTGTTTGTAATTTGTACTATTGATAGGGGGATTTTCTTGGACTGCAGGGGTTATTGTCAATGTGTGATTTTATTTTATAGAATCATCTAATGTGATATACCAATTTTTATAAGTAATATTTAGATAATTCTAATAACTGTATATTTGACAAATAATTAAAATGTTTTGCATTTGAGCTTTTTTTCCCTTTAATTTTAATATACTTACATACTCATGGTAGTTTGAAAATAACTTATTCATTCAAGTATTTGAGTGCATATTATGTGCCAGAAACTAAGAATCATTAGGGATTCAAAGATGACTAAGACAGGATGTTAATAGAAGCATATGCATTGGGAATGAAAAGGTATGCAAACCTTTATATGAATATTTGTTTATTTTTCTGTCATGTGTACTGAAATCTTTGGAATCAATGTAGTAGAAGTGGACTATAAGAAAAACAAATTGACTTGGCTGTGAAAATATTTACTATAATTTTAAAACTTCAGAAGTAGGTAAGATATTTTTGCATGTTGAAATTTCATGAATTAGTTAATCATTAACCAATTTTCATTCATTCGTTAACAAAGAGAGGGGGCACTGTCGAAATCCTACCCTTTCCCAGGCACTGTATTTGGCTTTGGACATTTTAAAAAGGGATTCAGTACCTGTCCTCGAGATAGGTGCTGTCTGGTAGAAAGAAAAAAACCAAAACATGTAAATATGGGTTAAAATGTTATTGGGGCTGTGATTGATTTATTGTATGTAGCAGGGTGTAAAAGAGAGGAGTCGGTCTGATACCTTACAAGAGGAAGGAGAGCGTGAGTGATTCATAGCCTCAGCAGTGTGAGCCCAGGCTCCAGAAGGTTGTGTAGCTTTCCTCTTTTGTGCCTGCTGCTGTGCTCTGTGGGACGGGCAGTTTTGTGTGAAGTAGTTTCTCTTTTTAAGACTGGCTGCCTAACTGCTGAAAATAACAGGGAATCTCACTGCCATAGTCTCCAAGTTATAGCTAAGTGTGAGAACTAAATAAAAGCTGAAATGAAATAATAAAAAGTGAAAATAATCACTTGGGGATTTTGTTAAAAATGCAGTTTCTGATTCAACAGGCCTGCATGGGTGGGGTCTGTGATGCTCCTTGTCCATGGGCCACACTTTGAATAGCAAGATTTTTTTTTTTTTACAGTACATATTACTGTATTATTGAGAGAGGGAGAGAAAAAAATAGATGGGTTGCCTCCTGTTTGTTTGGGGATCGAACTCACAACCTAGGTATGTGCCTGGCCAGATATCAGAGGCACCACCTTTTGGTGTACAGGACAATGCTCCAACCAATGGCCACCTCAGCCAGGACACTTCCGTTTTCCACCTCCTATTATGGTTGAACCTAACCCATCTAGGTTATGTGAGAGGCAGAGAGGACTATCTAAGGTCTAGCCTGACCACTTAATGTTGCATAACACCCCAAATGTTAGTGGCTTCAACAACCATTCTTTATTATTTGTGTGGATCTGCAAGTCCATTGGGTGGTTCTGTTAATCTTGGCTGGACTTACTCATGCTTCTACAATAAATTGGCAGGTCAGCTGTGTGGGGATGGGGGTGTTGTGAGCTAGTCTAGAATGGCTGAGGTGATGTGTCATATCTTTTCAGCAGGCTAGACGAGTCCTTTTCTCCAGTGGTAGTAGAGGTTCAAGAGAAGACTCTTGAA